AATATATCAAACTTGTGAGATGTAGATAAAGCAGGTGTAGATGGAAATTTATAGCATCAAAAGCTTGTCATAGAAAAGATAGTAAAGTTACATTATAAGAAGCTAGAAAAAGAAAAACAAAATTTATATGAAAAATAAGTTGAAGGAAGGACAAAGAAATGAGCACAAATAAATACAACAGAAAAGTCATTAAGAAAATTAACAAAGCCAAAAGGGGCTCATTGGGGAATAAAAATTGCCAAACCTCTAGGAAGGTTGAATAAAAAGAAAGAAGACATAACTTGACAATGTTAAGAGTAAATGAGGACATTCAGATTCTACAGACATTAAAGGGTAATAGAAGAATGCAATGAACACTATTAACTCATTAAATTCAATAATTTAAGTGAAGTGGACAAATTCCTAAAAAAGACAACTTTTCAAATTCACACAAGATAAAACACAGACTCTGAATACCTATAGAGAGATTATTGTACATGTGATCAAAACATTTCCACAAAGAATTCTAGATCCAGATAAGTTGACCATTGAATTCTATCAAACAATTCAGCAAGAACATCAATCTTATACAAACTTTCTGAGAATGAAGAAAAAGACTTTAACTCATAAAGACAGTACACTCTGATACAAAAGACATTACAAAAAAGGAAAATGCAAACAATATCCCTGAACATTTAACAAAATATTAACAAATCAAATCCTACAATATATAAAAAGCCTAATACATCATGGCAAAAGTGAACTTCAGGACAATAAATGATAAGCCATGTCTACTACCAGTTTAAGAAAATAAAACGATATGGAAATGCTACGTAATCATTTCAATATTATAAGGAATTTTTTTCTATTTTAGGGCTATAATTTTAGGAATAAGTGTGTACTAGATGACAGGGTTACTGGAATTTGAGGTGAAGAATGGGGTGCAGGTTGTAAGATGAAGCCAGAGGCTATGAGTTGATGACAGTTGTTGCTGAATTATGGAGGGGTCCATGGTTCTCCCCCTTTGTGTATATTCAAACGTTTCTATAATTATTTTTGAATTAATAAAAAATGGTTCACTTGTCAATGCATTTGCGTTTACCTTCACGTTATAAAATAAGCAGTAGATCTCGTTTCTTACCTCATACTTCTTGGCAAGACCGGTGTTGGAATCTGGCTTCACAGTGAAGAAAGAACACAGAAGTTGAAAGCAGCTCGTCAACGGCGACCCCACCCAGAATTAAGTCTTGGAACGCCAAATTCCGGGCTTTTCTCCCCATATCAAACTTTCAAAAGGAAAAGCAGGTATGAGAAGAAAAGACTTGTGCAAAACTCTTGAAGATCTGACAGTGATTTCGGAAGGAGTGGAACCAGCCCTTCGGCTCAGGGAACCTTCCTCGCCGTGGCCACCAGATGGCGAAGGCTGCCCGCGGCCACAACCGAACTGCGCCCGCCACCCTAGCGGACAGAAGCCGAGGGCAAGGAGCCGTGACCTCTTTCCCGCCTCCAGTGAACAGAAAGCTGAGTCCAACTTGGAGCTACAGGAGTTATAAGTGAGCCCAGCTGCTTCTACGTACGCATACAGAAGGAAGCTTAGGGTTTGTTTTTTGGGGTTTTTTTGGTGGGGGTGTATTTCAGAGATCCATCAGAAGCTGGAGCATTTGGGGGATCATCGCGAAAGGCTCGCTCGATATTTGGCCCTGCTAAAAATCCTTCCCCTAGGGAATTCAGTGCAAATCCTCGGCTGTTAGGGTCTAAGGAAAGTGCAGGGGGGCGGAGTGAGGGGTGCGGGGAGGAGTGAATTGGATCGCCAAGAAAAGTTCACGTTTCATGTAAATCATCGTGATAGAAATTCTGTGGCCACCAAGATCAGAGCCCCATTGTGTTACAGATGTGTTACAGGACCCGTGAGGAAATCCAGCCCCTGCCGGTTCCGGCGCCCGGGAACCCCTGGAAACCCCCAAAATCTGCGCTGGGCACCGCCTCTGCGCGCCACGGAGGGATTCCCAACCCCGACGAGGACCCACGTAGGTGGCGGATTTCCCGGAGTTTGTGTACTGGAAAGCCTGAACTGGAGGATGGGGATTTCAAAGAGGGAGCGCTTTAGGCTCACCAACTCAATTCTGCAAATTGCCTTTTGCAAGAGCCTCTTGAAGATGCCAAGATCTCCGCGAGGGGAAAGCCAAACTTTTGGAGTCGAGGCGCAGCAGGGGGGGACGTCACGCGGGGAGGCCGGGCACGCAGTTTCCAAACGCGTGGGAAAGGAGTGATTTAAGTGTTTGTTCCTACCGACGGCTCAATGGCGATTAAAATTTAGGGGAGTGCGGGAAAGTTTTTATTTCGGAGCGTTTCCACCACACCTGCATTTTTTTTTTTTTTAATTAACTACATTCGCTCCACTTCCCCTCATTACCTCCCATTCCAGTTAGATTCAGAAAGGACTAAAAGGAGCGGGAAGACGGTGTCTGCCTTTACTCCCAAGTTTAAAGCTAATCGGGCGCGGCTGGGAAGGCAGCAGGCTCGAAACCCTCAGTGGCGGAACTGGAAAGTGCGTTGCCGCAGACGCCAAACCCGCTCCAACCCTCGGGTCTGTTTCACAGAACCCACAGTGTAGCAGCTTCCTCTTCGCCTCTTTTTTTTTTTTTTCTGACTCTTCCAGCCTTTGCCAAGGACCCGGGGGCCGGGGGGCGGGGGCGGGATAGGAGGATGGGAGGCTCCTCACACCGCCCCCAGGAGAGCTAGTAATTTTCGACTTCCAAACCTAACAGGAGGACTCCAGCGACCGCGGGGAGCAAACTCGTGCCTGGGCGGGGTGGGGCGCCAGAGGGCGGGCCTGCTCTG